AATCTATGCACACCCTTATATTACCATTCATTTTTAACACTGGCACAATATTAGACAACCACTCAACATATCTGACTGTCCTAATAAAACCCACTTTTAACAATCGCTCAATTTCTTTCATTACCTCAAGCAACACGTTAGGGGCAAAATGCCTAGGAGGTTATTTTATGAGGTTTAAAATTTGGCTTAATTGGTAATCTATATTCTACCAAATTCTTATCTAAACCAAGCATATATTCATATTTTCAAGCAAAACAATCCTTATATTCTTTTAATAAACCGATTAATTTATTACTAACCTCTTGACTAAACATCTGACTAACATATGTTGGGCGATCTTCCCCTTCGTCGCCAGTATTCACCCTAATCAAATCGTCTTGTCCTTGAGCATGCCCAGGCTTTGTGATCTTCATTACTTCATTGTCCAAGTTCCTTGTAATCACTTCCTCTTCTAAGCAATCCATCTTATTGATTTCTCGACCAATATTCTTCTCCAACTCGAACACTGTCAACTTGTCTCCCAAAGTCCTTAATGCTACTTCTTCTTTCGTCTTCTCTTGATATTCCTTATTGAAAGCCATCAATTTGGTTTTGAAGGCCTGAATGCCGGCCATATGTTTTGGTTGCGACAACTCATTAGAGTTCATTGATTATCTTTTTGCCAATTACTGGATCTTCCAGGGCCACTATGTTTGGCCTCATTTGATTGAACATTTTAGTAAATGCATCTACTGAAAATGATTTTTCACTCTGTACGACAATTCGAGTCTCTTCTCCATCTTAAATTACCCTTATAGGTCCATAATTTTTTTCGTACATGAACCTTTCTACTGAGTTTGCTTCTGCGACAAAGGGTCTATGGTCTGCCTGCACCACTTCTGTTTCGCCCTTGTCATTCCAGAAAACCAGGCATTGGTGGAGCGATGAAGGTATGCAACGACTCCCGTGAATCCAATCCCTTCCTAGTAGTACATTGTAACTAGTAGGACCCTCTATCACAAAGAAGACTGTAGTCCTAGTAGTTTTTCCCACGGTTATGTTCAACAGGTCCATAATTTTCTTGATACATGAACATTTCTACTGAGTTTGCTTCTGCGACAAAGGGTCTATATTCTGCCTGCACCACTTCTGCTTCACCCTTGTCATTCCAGAAAACCAGGCATTGGTGGAGCGATGAAGGTATGCAATGACTCCCGTGAATCCAGTCCCTTCCTAGTAGTACATTGTAACTAGTAGGATCATCTATCACAAAGAAGACTGTGTTCTTAGTAGTTCTTCCCACGGTTATGTCCAATAGCATTACTCCTTTAGCTGAAATTATTCCTCCATTAAAACTTGTGAGAATAACTTCTGTTGGGATCATATCGCTTTCTATTTTTGCAAATTTCCGCATCATCCTAGACATGATGATATTTATGGCTGCTTCATTATCAATGAGCACTTTCGCTACAGGTATACCATTGACTAAGGTATTCACATACAATGGCCTTAAATGTTTAGTTAATTTCATGGTTGGTCTCTTAAAGATGACCTTTTCAGCTGCACCTATTTTCACTTTTTGTTTGTCATCCATTGAATTATTTCTTTATGACAGGTCCACATGCAGTATTTCACATTGAGTTTCTGCTTCTTGGACTCCTTTCTCATTTTCTTCTAATGATTCTTCTTTGGTTATCCAACTTGTAGGGGGAGACAATATTCTTGGAGGTGACCCATATTTCTCAGAGCGAAGCACTATTTTTTTTCTCTTGGGTATCCCGTATAATACGTAGTAGTCAAAAGAATGCCCAGATGGTTCTCCTAACAAATCCACTTCTCGAACACCTTCCCGATATAGTTGCTTGAACAAAGAATTGCGTGACACTCCTCTTCTTTTTCTCTCTGCTTCTAAATCAATTTCCTCTTCAATATTAGTCATGTTATTGTCCTCTTCTTCATCATATACTTACTAGGATGTTTGGCCTTCCTCACATTTCAATACACATGCTTCTTCCTCATTACCTTCCCTTTCCTCATCTTCATTTTCTTTATTTTTGAATTCATTGGCTATTAAATAATTATTAGCCATAGCAGGAGGTAAGATGCCAAATTGGATGAGTGAGGGGTTGCTCTGAATCTTCTCCATCTTTATTTCCAAGCTCAAAGTTTGATCTACCGGAAGAACTTTCTGGTAACTCTTCCATTGATTCTCCCATACCAACTTCTTTACTATTTTCAAGAGCATTTTGGTTGGCCACCTCAAGCAATTTAGGTACCTTAGGATGTGGCAATCCCCGTTGTTGCCTAATCATTCGTTCATAGTTCCATTGAAAACGTCTTTGTTGGGTTCCGGCTATCTCATTGAAGGTACAACCCTTCCTGCATTATACTGAAATGAATGCCATACATTTGGTTGGCGAGGTTACGGCCTGAATGTCCTCCCATTGTTTATCTACCTAAATTGCCTCTCAAAAGACGGTCTTCTATAGAATGATACACCCCGTCCTCCACCAGGCTGGATATTTGGGACAATATCAGGGCGATGGTGATTCACCACATTCCTGGTCTTTCTATATTTACATTTACTTCTCCCTTGCATCTCACACACAGGATGATTCCGTCCTCTCCAGACTCCTTCCCTTAGTTACGTTCAAAAACACTGGGATGTGGCCCAAAATCTTCTTCTCCGTTGTCTACAACCAATTTGAACCTTGGCAATTTGTTTTTGAAACCAATCGTCACCATGTTCACCCCAAGTGGCTGTGGGAAATGATTTTCGTCCACTTTCATTTTCTTCTTAGCTTCGAACGTGATTCGTCTTAACTCGATGGCATCTGGTAATACAAGGCGAAAGACCAACCAATTATTAGTCATATGTGACCAGNTTGGCCTTCCTCACATTTCAATACACATGCTTCTTCCTCATTACCTTCCCTTTCCTCATCTTCATTTTCTTTATTTTTGAATTCATTGGCTATTAAATAATTATTAGCCATAGCAGGAGGTAAGATGCCAAATTGGATGAGTGAGGGGTTGCTCTGAATCTTCTCCATCTTTCTTTCCAAGCTCAAACTTTGATCTACCGGAAGAACTTTCTGGTAACTCTTCCATTGATTCTCCCATACCAGCTTCTTTACTATTTTCAAGAACATTTTGGTTAACCACCTCAAGCAATTTAGGTACCTTAGGATGTGGCAATCCCTGTTGTTGCCTAATCATTCGTTCATAGTTCCATTGAAAATGCCTTTGTTGGGTTTCGGCTATCTCATTGAAGGTACAACCCTTCCTGCATTATACTGAAATGAATGCCATACATTTGGTTGGCGAGGTTGCGGCCTGAATGTCCTCCCATTGTTTATCTGCCTAAATTGCCTCTCAAAAGGTGGTCTTCTATAGAATGATACACCCCATCCTCCACCAGGCTGGATATTTGGGACAATATCAGGGCGATGGTGATTCACCACATTCCTAGTCTTTCTATGTTTGCATTTACTTCTCCCTTGCATCTCACACACAGGATGATTTCGTCCTCTCCAGACTCCTTCCCTTAGTTACCTTCAAAAACACTGAGATGTGACCCAAAATCTTCTTCTCCGTCGTCTACAACCAATTTGAATATTGGCAATTTGTTTTTGAAACCAGTCGTCACCATGTTCACCCCAAGTGGCTGTGGGAAATGATTTTCGTCCACTGTCATTTTCTTCTTAGCTTCGAACGTGATTCGTCCATTGAGCTACCGTAGACCATTATGTTGACGAAAGACCAAACAATTATTAGTCATATGTGACCATGCATTGTGTCATTTACAATATTTTTTACCCTTAATTTGTTCAGGGTTTGGCAATTTATGCTTGTCACTCAATTTTATTTGCTTATCCTTATACAAGTTGTCGAATATAAGGTCAGCTTTGCTCACATCAAATGAGAATACC